AGAAAGAAAACAACTCAGGAAAACCTTCATCTTGGACTTCCAGCCTCCAGAACTGTGAGAAAATAAATTTCTGTTGTTTAAACCATACAGTCCGTGCTGCTTTGTCATGGCCGCCCAGGTAAACTAATATAGATGGAAGCTTGATTATGCTGGGTGGAGGAGGGGACCTCCCCTTTGAATCAGGATTTTGAACCCATCCCTCTGGTTTCAGCCTTACCACTCACTCGCACCTTCAGTGACAACTGATACTTGATTTTCTGTGCCTTTATGAAGTTCCACTGGCTAAATAGGCTTGGTCCTCAGAGTCTACAGATGCTCAGGTTCATCTCTCTCAGCCTGACTAAATCAGCTCCTACTCCTTAGTCACTTTCCACTTTCCAAATTTTGTTGTCATCTTTAACCTTCTTATCTCCTCTCTTATTCTTCTCTCAGTGGGATGTCAGCAAGAAGTACAGCTAAAGACATGTATTCAGTGTACCATATTTTAACAGGACCATGCTTTCTCCTAAGGAGTTATCAATGGCCAACCCAAGCAACAAAAATGTTCACTATCCTGAAGGAAATATGCAAACCTCAGCTGGCTGCTAGTTAAATTTCACACTGCTAGTTCAAGAGCCTTCATGGAATCTGTGTGTCGATCCAAATACGCATATTCACGCAACCATGACAAACAAGTGGCCCCCAAATGCAAGGGAACTGCCATTGAATGCTCAGTTAGTTAAGTTATAAATCTCTACGTTGACTTCAAATTCAGGCATTCAGGTACATTTCATTCTTTCCAAGGTTTCTTCTTGGGGATGATAGCCAATGGAACAACTTAGTGTTTTTGTACTACAAAACAACCCAGGAGATACCACCTGTCATTGGCTCCACAGTAGATCTGACGACAGACCTACCATAGTGGCCTTGTGTATAATGACATGCAGTGGGCAGACAAGCATAGGCAGACTCATTTGTCTAGATCTGTAGCCCTTAAGACTACAGATATTTCTACCCAAATGCCACAGAAGTGGAATCCTTCTCCCCAAGTCTCACTATAAAAGACTTGCCATAATCAAATAACAATTTAGCATCAAATACTAAACTTTTTACGTTAGGAAAACAAGATCAGCCATCATAATAGATGCTAAAGACCACTACTAAGATGATAATAGCCATAAACAATACTATTTTTCTTCCCCGGGGAATTTAACTAAAACTTTAATCTCATGCATGAAATAATTTAGTCTAAAAACAGTACTTTCCTATCACCAGCTCTTTTTTGAAAATTTACTTTGTTGCTGCCACCTAAAATGACCATCAAATAAACTGTGCCAAAACTCCCTAAGTCTATGATGAATACTGTGGCAGATTTCAGGCTCATTTTTTGGATTCACTAACTGCTCCAATTAAAGACAATGGTCAACCATTATATAAACTAGCACTAGGTTGGGAATGGAATAATCCAGACAGGTAAAATCCACTTCTTACCCCATGGTCACTGAAAGTTGTTGGAAAACTCCACGTCCAGCATAATTTAGGATGATGGCCTTCAATTGCTAAGGATGTGCTACGTTTTCCTGTCAGGATACTGTACTGGTGTGTTTCACACTCTAATATGCACCAGAACAACCTGGAGGGCGTTTTCGAAACACACTGCTGCCCATCTCCTTGAGTTTCTGCTTCAATAAGTCTGGGGTGAGTTGGTGAATCTGCATTTCTAGCAAGTTCCCAGGTAATCTCATGTTGATGGTCCAACCAGGAACAGGGACCACAGTTTGGGAACCACTGCTGTCTTTAAGTGTTTATGGATAAAGATGTTTGGAGAGAGAATAGGACATTCTTATGATGAGTGTGGCAGCAATTTTCATATTCGTTTACAACTCTTCTGCCAAAAGCAGAATCAACTAATCAAAGTTGAGTCGTTAGATGTTGGAGAGAGAGAAAGGAATCTTGACCATCATAGACCAATATAAGGAAAGGTTTGATCATAAATGTTGTTTTGTTTGCACAAACAAATTTGGGACAGTTTGGTAAAAGCTTCTGGGTAATTTTGGAAATGCCTTCAGATTAAAGATGACAGATTGACTCACACTTGTTTATCTTCATTGTCTCCTGAAAAGGACAGTAAAGGAACATAAAAAGATAAATCCATAGGGACAAAGAAGATGGAGGAGGGATCATCTGCAAAAGATATATATCAACACAATTCTGGAAGATGGGGTGGATGGAAGAGTGGAAAGTGGTCTAACTGGAAGCTTATTCTAATGTTGCCCCAGAGGTCAGCACAGAAACAGTTCAGTTATCCTACAAGACCTCAGAGTAGCCTAGATCTTGGAGATGCCAGAGATCATCAAAGGGAGATGCTGATGAGAGGCCCCAGGATCCCAGAGTGAAGGAGAGAGGCAGCGGGCTGAGTGAACGTGGGCGTTTGGAGTTGTTAGATCCTCAAGCCCCTGTTCCACTCCTCGCATCCAGGTGATTACTCCAGCAGGAGAAACAGGAGAGAGGCTTGCACACCAGCCACAAAGAAGGGCAAGAGTAATGCACTTACAAGAAAGAAAAGAATGTGCAAGACTGCATACTAAGCAGTGACTCGCCCAGACCCCTTCCCCTCAACTGCTTCCAGAATATTGGCAGCCAGGTGAATGTCCCCTGAGGCAAGAGGTTGCAGATATTTCTTTTGAGAAACTGAAGAGCCTGAAAAAAAGATCTCTAGTTTCTGACAGTTAGGGGATCTTCCTACGGAAAGACCAGCTCTCACTTGATCACCATACAGCAAGCCCACCCATGAGCAAGTGCCCTCCCTCCCACTCCTACACCTCACTCTTAAGTATGAATGGAGTCAAAGGTTTGCAGACATTTGACGAAAGCCTCCAACGTGAGGGGACTAAAACAAATATATGGGAAAAGGGAAGCAGAGAGAAGGTAGGAAGCAGAAGAAAACCCTCAAAAGACAGAAGAAATTTACTGCAACCATGACATAATCATAGAATTCTATTTAAAAAATAACAGAAAACATGAAAAGAGCTCTTAGGATAGCTGAGCTAAAAACTTCAGTAGAAAGTAAAGTAAGGAAATAGTCCCTAAAATAGAAGAAAAGATGAAGAGATGTCCAACAGAAAAGAACATTCTAAGATTAATCCAGAAGATCCAAGATCCACCATCCAATTGAGAAGAGTTTCAAAAAGAAGTAAGAGTGGGCAATAATTGGAGACTTACCATGTGTGTGATAGTGTTCTAAGTGGCTCAGGTATATCGGTGAGGTAACTACTATTACCATCCCCATTTTACAGACGAGGAAACTGAAGCACAGCAAGAATAAGTGACTTGCCCAAAGTCATGTAGTAGAGACAAGATTGGAACTCAGGCAATCTGGTTCCAGAGTTTTTATGTTCTTTACTTCTCTGCTAGGATGAGAGAAAGAGAGAGAAAATTTCTCTCCCCAAGAAGAGAGAAAATCATTAAAGAAATATTTCAAGAAAATTTCCTGAACCGGACATAAGCCTTCAAATCGAAAGGGCATAATTATCTGCCCAGCAGATAATTATGAAATTTCAGAATATTAGAGATAAAGAGATTATTCTACAAGTTTCCAGAAAGAAAAATTCCAGGTCACAAAGGAATGGGAATCAGGAGGGCACTGGAATTCTCAGCAGCAATACTGGATGCTAGAAGATAAAAGAGCAATTTTTATAAACTTTTGAATGAAAAATTTCAACTTAGAATTCTCATCTCCATCGGAACAGGAGGACAGTGGACTTTTGGAGGGATGTTTCCAGGGGGGAAAGATGGAATTGATTGTTAGATCATTTGGAAAATAAATTTGATAGTCATGTGATAGATATGTTGTAGAAAAAGTATCAGGATGTGTACACACCAAAGTAAATAGATAAAAGGTTTTATAAGAAAGACCACAGCCATAGTATACTAGTTGGCTCTGTTGTGACTAGTATTTGCACAGTCATCGACTACTTACTACCTCCAAACTGTGAAAGAGCTATATTGGAAGAATGGCAGAAGGGAAAACTGGGTGGGATGTGAAAAAGCTAAATCCATATCTAAAGCAACAGGGGGTCAAAGCACAACATCTAAATCGATAAGTCAAGAGATAGCAGTATAAATTATTTAGAATATGGGAGATAAATGACAGAAGAGACAGCTAAAAGCGGAATGTGGTTGCCTCTAGAAAGGAGGTTAAGAAGGTAGAGGAGAGGTGCGTACTGTATCATCTTAAAATATTATATTATTCTTAAAAAGTAAGTGTGTGTGTTTATACTGTCTTTAAAAAGTAAGAATAAAATTAGAGTGAAAACATGGAACAAGCAAACCTTGTTTCATAATGAAATTTTCAGGAAATATCTGATCCGTGAAGATTCAAATAGAAGTTGTTTCAACTCTGGCAATGTAGTATTAACTCGAAACAAAATATGGTAAGCTTTTCATGCCCTCCTTCATTTCCACAATCCATATGTACGGGCTAGATTCCTGTCAGAACTTCCACAAATACTCTCTGGGAGCAGCGGTTATGAATTATACCTTTGCTAATTCGTGTTGTTTCCAATCAGAAGAAACAGAACCACAAAAACGTCAGTTTCATCCTGAATTGTTTCCGTAGCAACCATATTAAGCTGGAAGGATAAAGCACCTTTGTAGTCGCTGCTTCTATTGAATTACAATGTAAATGTTGATGCCTGCCTGGAAACGTCAAATGACAACAGGTTTATGGAACGGATTCAGCGGTTGTTTGCAGCTCTGGAATCCCAGGCTGTAGAGACGGAAGAGGTGCGCCTGGGCCATCTTAGTGTCTGTTCAACCATATCTCCTCACCTCATCAAAACCACGCCACTCTCCATCTGCCAAGCTCATGAAAGGATGCTAACCTATTTGAAAATCTGTAATCTACCTAGTATCTTTTACACATCGGGACACGAAAAGTGTTTATTGTGGATAAGAATGTTAAAAATTCAATTACGCAACAAACCCGTCAATCTTTGTGTTTTGCCCCCACTCTGAGCACAAAGTAAACTTCAGTTCTGTACTCTCCCGACACTGTCATACAGTCCCCTTAAAGTGGATATTAAAAGCCTTGTGGCTGTGCTGCGCATTTGATTCCGGTTGGCTTGGGATACCTGCGTTCAGCTCTCCTTAGTCCTTCCGTTCGACCCACAATCCCTAGTGGTTGCAGGTGTTGCTTTTTTTCCTGGTTCCTTCTTTCCCTCCAGGCACCCCACCCCCACCTCCCACCCCCGGCCGGCCTCCGGGAAGAAAGAAAACACAGCGTGAAGTCTACTCGAAGCACTGACCCTCAGCTCCCACGGGTTGCCACAGAGCTGCAAACGTGCCGCCGCTCCACTCAGGTAAACTTCGGAATGAGTTACCTGCACTTGGAGAAGGGCCTTACCTGAGCGCGCCTCTGCCAATGGCAGCTCACCTGAGGGAGCTCCGCAGCCAATCACCGCGCAGCTCGTCCCTCGGGCTTGTACCCTTTAGTGAAAGAATTCAGCTCCTTGCGAGAAAGTTACCTGTGGCCGCCCAAGTCCGCCACTTTCCGCTCTGTGGCTGCCCATTGCCACCATCCAGGAGGACTCCGCGCCGCCCGGCCGCCTCCGAGCTCGGGCCCCATGTGAGGGGCCCCCCCTTATCCCACCTTTCCGGCTAGGTGAGGGCGCGAGCGGGCGAGCGAGCGAGAGTGGTGAGGGGGGACGGAAAAGCAGAATTACCTGTAGCTCTTGTTCTGCCATCTCGGGCGCTCTCACACACCTTCACCTGCACAGACTTGAAAGTCCAGTTTCACCAGAGGCTGAGGCTCCAGGAAAAGGGGAGCGAGTTCATTGGATCAAACATGTCACAAGAGTCGGACAAGTAAGTGGATCACACGCGCCGGCTGCTGCTACTACACTTTGGGCTGATGGCAACTGGTTTGTTATGTTTTTGTTTTTGTTTTTTTTTTTTAAGTTGCTATTGTTGATATTTTTTTCCTTCTTTTTTCTTTTTCTTTTTGGTGTATCCAGACTTTTCCAGATTATGTTTCTATCCTGATTAAGGGAAGAAACCCTACAAGTATGTGAATGTTTAGTATCCACTTTGGGCCTTGATAGTAAAAGTAGGTTTTCCTCCTTCCTTCCTCCCTTACGAAAGATCTCAGCTCCCATTTCTCAGAACGAATACTTGGATATTGACAGAGGTTTTGGTAGATGAAACGGGAGGCTGTTATGCCCCGGTCTTTTAGTTGCTCCACCGCTTCAGGGTTCTCGGGCCATTTGGAAATTCAGCTGAGTTCCTTCGATTTGTCCAAAGGGCCTGCTGGAAAAGCGGGTCTTGGCGGCTTTTGTGTGAGCGTAACAAAGAGCCTTTATATTGAAGCAGAAACGGCCATCTTCCCGCACTCAGGCAGGAGAGTGTGCGTGTGTGCGCGCCCGCGTGTGCGCCCCCGACGGGAGGCGAGGCGCCGGGGCGGCCAGGAGCGGGGGTGTCGCCCGGCGCCGGCCCCCGCCCCTGCCCCCGACTCCCCGGCTCCCGTCCGCCGCTGCATTGTTTGGCCACCTTACGCAGGTGCGGGAGGACAGGGCCTTTCGGAAATGAGGGGAATTGATTTGAGGGCCCGAGTTTGCGCCTCCGAAGTGCGCAAGGGGCGCCTGCAACTTATCGATTCGCCCACGTCCGGACGGCTTCTGCGCGCCCCTGCGAGCCCGCGGCCTTCCGCGGCCCGGGCGCCCCACGCTGGAGGCCGCCAGCTCGGGCGTGGCTCGCGGGACTGCGTGGGTCGCGCCGGGCCTTCCTGGGGGACTCTCGGACGGAAAGGCGGGGGCCCGGGGCGGCGGGGCCGGCTTGCCGCGCCTCGAAGGGCGAGCGGGGAAGCGCGTCCTTCCCGCCCGGGACGGGCACTGGACACTCGCCGGGTTCGGCGGCCTGCGCGGCCCGAGTCGCAGGGAGCCAGGCCCGGGTCCAGTCGCGTCCAGGCGGCCTCCCAGCAGGCCTGGCCCCCGCCTTCGGGACGGCTTTGTGCTAGCGGAGGGAGGTGGGGCCGAGGGCGGGAGCGAGAGGGAGCCGGAGGTGGGTCCCGCGGCCTTTCTTGGGATTCGGTGGCGACACTCCCTTCCCCCTCCTTTCGGGCGCGCATCGGGCTGGGAACTGGCAGCGTCCCGTTGGAAGTGCGTAGGGGCCCCCTTTTTGCTTTCTTTGCTAACTTTACCCTGGTTTTGTGGCCACCCCAAGGAGACCTTCCTGCGGGTGTCTCTGCCGGGGCAAGGGCCGGGCACCTCTCCTGGAGAAGTGGCCGGGACCGGTCCCAAGCTGAGGGACCCTGAGGGGGCAGCGGGAATGTCCTGCGGACCTGTCCACGGGTGGGCGGGAAGGACCATCCTCAAGTAAAGCCGCTGGTAGGATAGGCGTATCTAACAACATACGTCGTCGTACTCATATGCAGAAATCCACCAGATATTAGCACCACGTTACCCACCAACGAACAATTAACTGCGAGCTACAGAGCGGAGGGGAGGAACTAGTGTTAACAAACACCGGAAGAGGGTAGGAGTGGGGTAGGGGTAGAAGGGTGTATGGTTGTGTGAGTGTACCCCGACTCCCACCTCAGGTTCCCTCTGGAGCCTTTAAGAAATCACTACTCGACTTCGAAAACTTCAGTCAGCCAAAAGGCGAGGTGACAGCAGGTTTTTTTGGTTTGTTTTGATCTTCGTGTCAAAAATGGTTGCAAATCTAGTGAATATCGGATAAGATATTGTAATTCTTAATTAAATCACACAATTAATATTTGTTTGCATTTCTTAGTTTTGTGATACAACGTGATTCAGATGAATTCAGAATGCAAACGTGTCGGTTTTTATTTTAACCGGTTATACTTAGCACCAATAACGACTATTTATTTAGTATTGAAAATAAGTTCTGAGCACTAGCAATCTGGTTTCACTGCGATGCATTACCTATTTTTTATGGGTAATAACTATCTGGGAATACGTATACTTACACTTAAAGAAAGTAGCTTTTATCTAGTCATTGTTTCCAAGACTTAATTTTGTATCCTGGGAAAAGTAATACTAACGATACCCGTCAAAAGAGCGTTAGATTCCACTTTCCTCTCTCCGCTTGGGCTGTTGAGAAATGCTTAAATTAATCAATGATTTGGGGATCATTTTTGGAAATTTTAGTCTAGTTTTCTTAATGTTAATATTCTAATGGAGAACTGGCAGGTGTCGGCCTAGCTTTTATGGGCCTAAAGCTTACGCAATTGTGTATTTTAGGAGGGATGGGGGTGTGGGCTCTAAGAAAAAGAACATGTTGCTGGGGCTTCCTGCCAGAGCAGAGGAGGTCGCTGAAGCTGGAGCTTTATCAAGTGCATGGTAAATCTACCTAGGAGGCCTGGCTGTATTTTCTGGAAGTAACCTAAAAGAATACGCACAGATATTTTTCCATAAACACATCAAAGTGTAGGTAATCTTTTGGATTGCATACGAGGATAATTCCAATTAGCAAGTCTGGACTGAAGTAGCATCATCTTTCTATGGTTGTGGACTTTTCAGATTGTGTTCTGCAGTGTTGATGCTATCACTAATTAAAACAAAGTTTTTTAGGACAGTTTGTCTTTGTACGTATTTAAAAATTCTCTGCTCCTCCTTTCTTAAATTTTATGAAGATTTGTGATCTTTGTCAACAAGCATGTGTATTCTAGCAAGGCAAAGATAGATTTAGAAATTCTTATTTTACTGCCAAAATATATAAAATATATTCAGAGAGAATATGATATATAAATATATGTTACATATTCATTTATATAAATATGTGTATATAAAATATAATTATATATAAAATACATATTCTATTCAGTCTGAATATATTTTGTCTATATGATTTTTAATATATATCATTTTATTTGATGCTCACAGGTGTTTTTCATTACATAAATGTGTTTTCTGACAGCACATTCAGATAGGTATTATAGGAGAATAGAAAGATGTATAAGATGGGCCATGTCCTCAAGGGGCTTACACTCTAATGGAAGGTGAGTCATGAACAGAGATAATTTTAATTAAGGTAATACCTGATAAGTGCCTAAAAGTTACAGAGAAAATACAATACTATATTTATCAGGTCATGGTATATCAATCTCACTTCTTCCTACTCACCCCATTTTTGCCTAGGAAATTACTTTTAGTCATTTTGTGTGTTTTATCTTAAGGAGACCAGCCATCACTCTAGAAAGGAAACAGAAAATGCCCAAAGTTATAGGTACTTTATGTGGATAACTTTTCAAGTAATGGGATGAAACATTTTAGTTAGACTTTCTACTCTTTAGTTTTATGAATGCATATGTTTGTTTCCATTTGGCTATATAAAATATCTTTTAAGATCACAAATATTAAGAATTAATCATATCTTCCTCAAACCAGTAAATATACCCACTTACTTATTCAGCAAATATGTCTTGAATACCACGATATACTGGGCATTGATCCTGGCATTGAGATTCACTAGCGGATAGAACAAAGCCCGTGCCATCATGGTGTTTACATTATAGTGCCAGGAAACAGAGAGTAAATGGATCAAGAGGTAAATACATAACAAATTAGATAATGATAAGTGCTATGAAGGAAAGCAAAGCAGGTTATAGGGATTGAGAATAATGGGGAGCTGTTTTATATGAGGTGGTCAGGGATGGGCTCTCTGATGAGACAACCTTTGAGCAGAGACCTGAAGAAAGTGAGAGATCAAGCACTGAAGATTCATGGGATAAGAATGTTACAGGCAGATGGACAAGTAAGTGCAAAGGCCCTGAGGTGGGAGAGTTAGCATATTCCAGGATCATAAGGGAGCCCAGTGGGTGAACCAGAGAGGTAGAGAAATAATGGTCCCTTTAAGTAAATTAACATAATCTTTTCTCTACCTAATAGTCCAGACATTTGTATACACTCAAAACCAGACAAAATTATGCTTATAAATGGCCGTGGCAGTCAACAGGTGAGTAAATAAAGAATCAGCTAATACCTCCAGTCTTGTCTTTTTCCTTCGTATCACCAGTTTAATGGTTAGGATCCAGTGTTCTCGTCCATACTGTGGATTAAATCCTGCATGCCCTTCGTTTGGGGATTAATAAATGCACATGTCCTAGAAGACCCCTTGGGAATTAGAGCTGAAGAAGAGGGACCAAGTACAGATGGTGTTTGCGCTGACACTCTTGATTCCCCCAAACTCTTAATTTAACCTTCCACTCTTCAGCCGCTATCTCAGCCGTTTAACAGGAGCCTCCAGCAAAATAAGGCTTGTCTTTCCTGCCTTCCTCCTGTCCTCCAATTTCTGCAAACTTGCATCCATCCGAAAACATAGGCTTGTCCATTGTGTTTAGAAGTGAGATGCTGCAAACAGTGTGCTTTGGTTAGTTTCACATTTTCAGTGAAGTAAACAAATATACAGGTAGAGTTAACCTACTTGAAAAATGAGAAAATGCTAGGCAACAACATGAAAATCTGGAATGATTTTTAAAAAGTTGAAGATAATTACATATGTGCTTAATAATAGTAAGAATCTCCATAGGAATCCTTTAAATCACTGCTGCCCAAACTCATCTGATTACAAAAATATCACCAGAGGCACTTAGTAGAACTACAGATCCCTGGGCCCCACCCCAGAGCTGTGGAATTAGATTCTCCAGTGAGGGGCCAGGGCATCTGTGTTTAAACAATGTCCAAGGTACGTTTTATGATTGGCTTAGTTAGTGAAATAATGCTGTGAGTACCTAACATTACTTTACATAATAAATTCAATTTATATGCAGCTTCTCAGGTGTGTATGCAGTGTGTAAGTGAAATGAAATGTGGGCTTTATTTTATGTTTGTTATTCTCCTTTCTGATAT